GTGGTAAAGGGATGGTATGCAAGAGGTAAAAGAAATAACAATAAATTGATCCAGAAATATTGTAAAAATTTTCAAAAAATATAGAAAAGCACTAGAATCACTGTCATATACGAAAAACCCAGGCATTTATTGGAACACAAAATAAAGCACCATAAACATTGTCAAATTGCTATTGGCCTTCTAAATTTCATCTACTCACTATTCTGAATAAATGAGGGAAAATCATGTAAAATTCTCTGTGTGCTTGATCCTTGTACACAATTCTAAATGAAATTCTCAGGCATCACTTCTAGTGAGGAGCTAGGCTAATCCAAATGAAGTTACTATTTGTGTCTTTCTTTGTACTTGACAAATGAACCAGTTTCCTTCCAACTTACCTGAGTCTATATCCTTCTGTTTCCTCTAAGTTTATGATCTAGGTTTCTTTGTTCTGTTCAAGACAGGTGACTAGCTCTGGTTTTGATACAGAAAGGCCTGTGAATTAGAGGAGAGATATGAAAAGTACTTAACAAGATGTGGCAAAGTGTTGGGATCTAACACAGGCTTATACTCAGTGGATATGAAGTTACATAAAGAAAGACTCATGCCGGGCGGTGGTGGCGCACGCCTTTAATCCCAGCACTCGGGAGGCAGAGCCAGGCGGATCTCTGTGAGTTCGAGGCCAGCCTGGGCTACCAAGTGAGTCCCAGGAAAGGCGCAAAGCTACACAGAGAAACCCTGTCTCGAAAAACCAAAAAAAAAAAAAAAAAAGAAAGACTCATAAGTGGAGTCATTTTAGTATATACTTCACAGGTGTCGTAGACTTTTAAAAAAAACTTAATGTTCATTTTGTACACATTCAACTTTTCTTTAATTACCTCATTACAAAAATAAAACTGTTGGAATCAAACTGTATTCACAAATTATTGCGACTGACTGACTGACTGCAAATATTTGGATTTAAAGAACTTTTAGGCTAAATTAAAATGCCATTTATAATTTAAAATAAGAAAAATTTCAGTCACTATTACACTCAACAAAACATAAAATAATTGGAATTCATTGATAGAAAACATTTCAAATATTAATACAAGTCGCTAGACATTCCTAGGGCTAAGCAGCAATCATGAAAGAATTTATTCTCACCTACAGAAAACAGGTTGCTGTAGTGAGAGTAATTCCTACATGACATCTCTGTATAAATCCCTCTGAGAAATGTCCAGGCATTCCCATTCCTCCTTGGAGAAACTGATGGCCACGTCTTTGAAAGTCAATGGACTCTGAAGTGAAAATTCAAATTTTCTTTGTTATATTGGTTTGAGTTCTTATTTGCTCCACAAGAGAGTATTTAACTAAATAACTCTCTATATTATCAGTAATCAATCTTCAATTTTCAAATGTTATACATTAAGAGGATGCTGAGACACTTTCATGAGATCAAAGTGCCCAACATCTAAACATTTCATGAAATATGTGCCTTTTCTCAGTGATAATGTCTGAAGTTGTGCTCAGTATGAATTGAGTTTCAATATTCATCTCTAATATCAGAAAATTTGGAAATACTTCAGATCATGAAGTCATGTAGAAAAGTCATATTGGGAAATAAAAGAGGCAGGAAAGAATTAAAAAGGGATGTAGAATAGAAATGATGGTGATAATAAAGAATTTATTTCAAAAATATAAGAAAATATAAAAATATGTTTTTTTAAGAGTTTTTGAGAGCTCTGCAAATGAAGCATTTATGTGTGGGATGTCAACCCATCCCATCCTTGTGCAAGCTTTTACCTGAGAACATATCATCCGTTCTTCCCCTTTCCTATGGATCCTGTCAGGAAGTTTATATTTATTTATTTATTTAATTATTTAGTTATTTAGTTAGTTAGTTAGTTAGTTAGTTAGTTAGTTAGTTTTTGAGACAGGGTTTCTCTGTGTGGTTTTGGAGCCTTTCCTGGAACTCACTCTGTAGCCAAGCTGGCCTGGAACTCACAGAGATCTGCCTGCCTCTGCCTCTAGAGTACTGGGATTAAAGGTGTATGCCACCATTACTCAGCCAGGAAGTTTATCTTAAAGTTTCATTTTTCTGATACTATTCTGTATGTAAAGGTAGCAGCACCTATATTCCCTGCTACCACACTTGGAGACCAGAAAGCAAGTAAATAAAATGTCCTCAATCAGTGTTTCAACACATAGCAGAGATCATGAATTTTTACAGAGAGATCAAAACTTAGTTTCTCCTCTTCTGCATTGAGAGGTTCTGTTATTCCAGCAGATTGTGGCAATTTCTACAACCTGGGTATGTGGCCTTACCACCCTGCTTTTTACTGTGCACAGACATTTTAAATTGAGTCTGATCACAATTGTAAGAAATTGCAGTTACCCCTTCCTCACATTCCATTTCCCCGACATTATTAATTAATATATAACAGACATCTGTATTTGAAATAGTGCATGGAATCTGAGCAGTAGCCTCAACTGAATGTATTTCTCACCTTGGTTAAGTAATACACTTGCCTACAACCAAGGAACAGTAGAAAATTGATACCTCAACAGTGTCTTCAATGAGGCATTCCCATTAGTTTCCATGTTTCATTTTACAATTCCACTATTTCAGTTTTGCAGAAAAACAAATGATTAGATTCTCTCTTAAGTTTATTTTAAATAGTGAAAATACTTCTTTTGGATTCACTTGAAAATGCTGTATCTAAATAATGGCATCTTTGCCCTAATATTTCAATTAGTTCATTTGTTAAAAAAATGTACTATATAACCATAGGATGTAGTATTGCATCACCTTCCAGGGGAGTGATTGTTACCAGGTGTCAGCACAACAGAAGATGATTTCAAGTTCACAGTAGTGTTAATAGATAGCAAAGAGAAATAATGGAATAGAGTCTCTGAATCTAGTCACAAACATAACAATAAACCGAAGAAAACTTGCCTGATAGGATAATTTCATACCACGTTATGACTGGCAAATTCCATTTCGAAGTTTGTATTACATTTAAATACTTCAGCTTTGTATATAACACAGTATGTCTTTCATAGAAATAATACTTTAAACACTATCCATTGACACGAAGACATTCCATCCTTTTTCATGGTACCACTTTCTTCAACAGTCTGTACTGAGCAAATGGATACCTGAGTAAAAGGATCATGGAACATAGTTTCTTTCTCATTCATATGAGATGACTCAATTCCATTTTCTTAGGACATAGGAATGAATGCATGCATTTTTGTATATCTATTTTTATACTATGCATTAATGCAGAGAATTTATTTTGAAAAATAAAGTGAGAAACAGTGGAAAGCAGCCACCCACTCATGTGACATGCATTAAAAAAAACTTTACCTTGACAACCGCATCAGTAATAGAAAAAAAAGCCTTGTAAAAACTGAGAGGTAATGTAAATGTTTGGGATCACCACAAGAGAAGCTTTTGTAGGAGAACAGGCAAGATATCTCACGTCCATACACGCATTTACCTGAGAAAAAGCCATCTCTCTTTTCCCTTCCATCTGAATCCTCTCAGAAAACTTTATCTCAAAATTTCACCTTCCTGATAATATTTGGGGTTTCAAAGCAAGAAAAGCCTTGTATATTTTGTACCAAACTAAGAGACTGGAAGGAGGATCAAAAGCTCACTATCTGTACTTTATTGGAGCAGTGATATAGAAAAACATGAGCTCCCAGAGGCAGACAAAACTGTAGGGTGTACTGCCATGCATTCAGTTAGGTAGACTGTTTGTCCTGCATGAATGACTTTAGTACAGATATGGCAACATGGTTGAATTGATTTGCTAGAGTTAGTAGAATCGTGTGGGCATTTCAAATTGATGCTGAGCACAGCTGACATCGAGAATCATTAATGAATCTCACATTCTCTTACTCTGTGGTTTATTAAAGCAAAATGAGGCTTCCATGGAGGATAACACACAGTATCTGTGGGGTATCGCAGATGAAAGTAATTCTTCAACTGGGTAAAAAAATATAGTTGTGTCCAAGCAGCATGAAAGCAATGCATTTCCCTCAAAAGTCTCCACTGACCTTCCCATTTGTTATCATGATATAATTTATAATATTAAAATTCTGCAACTTTGCAGTGATTAAAACATTTCACAAATTTATTTTCATCATGACATTACTTCATAGTCCTCATAGTAGTCCAAAGATAGTCTTAGAACCCACAAGCTTGGAATAATGAACAGTTGAGTGATTCCTCCATATAAGTACTGGCCATTGAGCTCCTCTATATAAAAGACGAGTAAGAGCTCTTAACTTTTGAGCCGTCTCTTCTTCCCTGTGTTGATTATTTATGACCAACATTGATATTTCTAATGTTATCATCTTTCAAACTGTAACTGTTTAAATGCATAGTTCCTTTTAGTAAGATTTATTAAAGTATAGTTTAAATTGGAGCAATTCAGATTTCTGAAAGATAAATACAGAACTAGAGTGAATGCCTAACTCTTTGTAGGAATTTCAGTAAAACAATCTCTGAGCTCATCCTAAATTTTTGTTTGTTGGATGGAATTTTACTGTGCAGATGGGTTCTTAATATTTATTTCTTCCTGTACTATAACTGATTGCATAGACTGGCTAACTTTCAACTCAGAAGCACATATACCTGCTTCCACCTTCTAAGTTCTGGAATTAAATACATGAGCCATTACACCCAACTTACAAATCTTCTTTGTAGTTAGTAATTGTTCATACAATTTCTCTGATGTCTGCTCAATACTGTTGAAATGTTTGCTTAGCACTCTATCTCTGTTAATAAGCATTTATCTTGCAAGGTGATATCTGATTCAAAGCATTCAGAAATAATAGTGGTAAACCTCCTAATTAGTTTCTTTGTGAAGTAACTTGATGATTTCTTTGTAATGCCTGAGTTATAGAATACATGTAGGTGTCACCAGAATTGTGTGTCTATATTGACAAAGAAGTACACATTTACAAAGTAGTATCATGCTTTTGGTTTTATACATATGGATGACATATTTATGTATGGCATATTTTAGAATGCAGTGACCTATAATGATGTGCATGTCGACATCACTCAGGAAGAGTGGGCATTGATGGATCCTTCACAGAAGAATCTCTACAAAGATGTGATGCTGGAGACCTATATGAACCTCACAGCTATAGGTAATACTATAAATTTTCCTTCACATTTTAAATAGGGGGGCAGCTGTTTCTTGGTTATTGATGCATTTCTGTATTTCTGATGGATAATGAGGAAGAATGAGGTGAATAAATCAGATTTGGTTCTAAGGATCAGTGAAGATAGTAATGTAAAATTTTCAGTTTCCAGTAATATTTCATACATTTTCTTGTCCTATATTTTAGGCTACAATTGGGAAGATGTTGAAGTTGAAGAATATTGTCAAAGTTCTCAAAAACATGGAAGGTAATTTTCTTGTGCAAGCTGATACAAATGGGCATCTGGATATATTTAATTTATCTGGAATCTTTAAAGAAATGAATCTGTAAATAATCAGAGCTTAAAATGCATCGATGATCATTAAATGTTCATAAAAGCATATACCTCAATGGCAGGTAAATGAATTGTGTTTGCAAGTCATTCTTTGAAGAAGGAAGAAAAAAATAGCAATGCCTTAGCAGAAATTACCATTTGAATAATAGCTTCATCAAAGCTATGCTGTGTAACTGACAATCCATTTAGTTTCATAGTATTCATATTACAAAAGATATACTCATTGAGTATGTGATAAAAATATATACCCAACCTTGTAATATGCAAATAGTCCATAGTAGAGTTAATCATATAGTTGTTCTGGCTCTGCTAATTTTAGTTAGATGGGTAGTTAGAGTCAAGAGTTAAAGGGGGGTTGTTGTAGAGAAACATTTCCTATACCACATGTTGTTGAGGACCAGAAAGTCCAACTACACATGAAATGTGGAAATATTCTTGTTTTTATTCTTTCTTTAATAGTTATATCATATGTCACTCTGGATATCAACACTATGAACATGAAGATATAGAAGGAAGCAATGTCCATCTCTCAATTTCAGAACAGTTAGAAGATATGTAGTAGTTCTATGTTGAGTAAACTTGATAAATGTGATTCAAGTTTACAAACAGTTGGTTTTCCAGCTCATTCAGAATAGATCAACAAACACACCACAGAAAAGCCTTATGAGTACTAGGAATGTGTAAATGCTTTGGTTTGTGCGGGTTAACTTTGAACATGTAGCATGACTCACAGTATGGGAAACTTTATCAGTTGAATAACTGAAGTAAATGTCCAACTTCTCCGATTTCTCTTCAAATATGTGAAAAACCTCAGAGAAAAATGATGCCATAAATATGAGCCAGGTAATAAAGACTCTTGATATCACAGGCATGTTCAAATATGCAAAGCCATTCTTAACACAGAGGAACAACCTGAGTGTAAACAACATGTTAAAAGCTTAAGATATCAGTTCTCTTTATGTTTAGACCAAATTGAAAATTAATTTATGCAGATATAAAGACTCAACAATGTAATGAATATCGTAAAGCTTTTAAATATTTCAATTACTTTTGCAGGCATGAAAGAAGTCATACTACAGAGAAATCACATGAATATACTGCATGTAGTAAAGCCTTTGCTTGTAGTCATCCTCAAAGGCATGAAAAAACACATACTGGAGAGAAATCATATGAATATAATCAATGTGGTAAAAGCTTTGCAGAACACAGTAATCTTCAAAGGCATGATACTACACATATTGGTAAAAAACCTTATGAATATAATCAAAGTGGCAAACCATTTGCTCATTGGAAAGTTCTTCAATTTTATAGAAGAAAACATTTTGGAGAGAAACCCTATGAATGTAATCAATTTGATAAAGCATTTACAAAGCCCAGTCATCTTCAAATATATAAAAGAACACATACTGGAGAGAAACCCTATGGGTGTAATCAATGTGATAAAGCCTTTGCTTGATACAGTGCTCTTCAATTGCATGAAAGAACACATACGGGAGAGAAACCCTATGAATGTAAACAATGTGGTAAAACCTTTGCATGGCAAAATTACCTTCAAGCTCATAAAAGAACACATACAGGAGAAAAATTCTATGAATGTAATCAGTGTGGTAAAGCCTTTGCTCAAAACAGTAGTCTTCAAAGGCATGAAAGAACACATACTAGAGAAAAACCCTATGAATGTAAACAATGTGGTAAAACCTTTGCACAGCCTGGTTATCTTCAAGCACATAACAGAACACATACTGGAGAGAAACCTTATGTGTGTAATCAGTGTGGTAAAGCCTTTGCTCGACACAGTGCTCTTCAAATGCATGGAAGAACACATACGGGAAAGAAACCTTATCAGTGTAAACAATGTGGTAAAGCCTTTGTACAGCCCAGTCATCTTCAAGTACATAAAAGAACACATACTGGAGAGAAACCCTATGAATGTAATCAGTGTGGTAAAGCCTTTGCTCGATACAGTGTTCTTCAATTGCATGAAAGAACACATACTGGAGAGAAACCCTATGCATGTAATCAGTGTGGTAAAGCCTTTGCTCATCACAATGATCTTCAAAGGCATGAAAGAACACATACTGGAGAGAAACCCTATGAGTGTAATCAGTGTGGTAAATCCTTTGCTCCAAACAGTGATCTTCAAAGGCATGAAAGAACACATACTGGAAAGAAGCCCTATGAATGTAAACAATGTGATAAAGCCTTTGTACAGCCCAGTCATCTTCAAATACATAAAAGAACACATACCGGAGAGAAACCCTATGAATGTGATCATTGTAGTAAAGCCTTTGCTCAAAACAGTGATCTTCAAAGGCATGAAAGAACACATACGGGAGAGAAACCCTATGAATGTAAACAATGTGGTAAAACCTTTGCATGGCACAATTACCTTCAAGCTCATAAAAGAACACATACAGGAGAAAAATTCTATGAATGTAATCAGTGTGGTAAAGCCTTTGCTCAAAACAGTAGTCTTCAAAGGCATGAAAGAACACATACTAGAGAAAAACCCTATGAATGTAAACAATGTGGTAAAACCTTTGCACAGCCTGGTTATCTTCAAGTACATAAAAGAACACATACTGGAGAGAAACTCTATGAATGTAATCAGTGTGGTAAAGCCTTTGCTCGATACAGTGTTCTTCAATTGCATGAAAGAACACATACTGGAGAGAAACCCTATGAATGTAATCAGTGTGGTAAAGCCTTTGCTCGATACAGTGTTCTTCAATTGCATGAAAGAACACATACTGGAGAGAAACCCTATGCATGTAATCAGTGTGGTAAAGCCTTTGCTCGTCACAATGATCTTCAAAGGCATGAAAGAACACATACTGGAGAGAAACCCTATGAGTGTAATCAGTGTGGTAAATCCTTTGCTCCAAACAGTGATCTTCAAAGGCATGAAAGAACACATACTGGAAAGAAGCCCTATGAATGTAAACAATGTGATAAAGCCTTTGTACAGCCCAGTCATCTTCAAATACATAAAAGAACACATACCGGAGAGAAACCCTATGAATGTGATCATTGTAGTAAAGCCTTTGCTCAAAACAGTGATCTTCAAAGGCATGAAAGAACACATACGGGAGAGAAACCCTATGAATGTGAACAATGTGATGAAGCCTTTGTACGGCTCAGTCATCTTCAAGTACATAAAAGAACACATACTGGAGAGAAACCCTATGAATGTAATCAGTGTGGGAAAGCCTTTGTTCGTCATAGTGCTCTTCAATTGCATAAAAGAATGCATAACTGAGGGAAACTCCATGAATGTAAACAGTGTGGTAATGCCTTTGCACAGCCCAGTCATCTTCAAGTGTATTAAAGAACACATATTAGAGAGAAATCCTATGAATATAATCAATGTGGTAATGCCTATTCACAACACAGAGCAACCCTGTAACTGTAAAACTTTTAGTGTGTAATTGGTCTCTTAAAGCCTTTGAATATAACATTAGACTTTGAGGATCTGAAAAGAACTCATACCAAAGGAAATCTGAATATATATGTATTGGTATGATCTTCATCCAACATACTTACATTCCATTACACAAGATTAATTATTTTGGAAAAAAAATTAAAATGGGTCAATAATATGTTCAAGCATTAAAATATCTCTTTTATTTTGTTTACACCTCTCAAATAATGTGGACAAAAGAGAGATTAGGGATTTAGCTCAGTTATAGAGCACTTATCTAGCAGGCACAAGGCCCTGGTTTCCATCCTCAGCTCTAAAACAAAAATATGGCAAAAGACATATAAATTTAAATGATAATGTAACCCTTGTAGATTTCATACTTCTCTTCAAATACATGAAATAATGAATTCTGGTGTAAATTTTCATAGATGTGTATCATTGCTTTTCTGTTGCTTTGATAATAGATCATATCTAAATGAACTTAGAAAAGGTTTCATTTTGGCCCTTGGTTCCAGAGCAGTACATGTATACCGTAAAAGGAGCATGGAAATAAGTGTCATACATGACAGCTAAAGCAGGAAGCTAAGAATTCACATTCTTGCCCTGCAGTATAAAGCAGAAAGTGTAAATTAGAAATGGTGTGCAGATATAAATGCTCAGGCCAACCCTAACGACAGAATTCTTCCAGCACGGTACCTTTCCTAAATCTTCTCAAATGATGTCACTGACTGAAAATGATAGATTCCTCCAACTTCAAGACTGCATGCTTGTTTTTTCTTAAATGGACCAAGTCATTATGGAGAAAATTTCTGTAATCATTTAGATGCTTCAAAACCCATGTTACCAGAATTATAATAGAAAACATTCATGATTGAAAATTAGTTTAAATATTTGTTTTTATTTTAATTATGCTATGTGTGAGTGTCTTCCTCTGGGTACATGTATGTGCATTTTAGTTCCCAAGACGGTTATACCATTGGAGCTTCTTATTGTAAGAATTACTGGAAGTCATCCAAAACCAGATCTTGGTCCAGAAAATGAACTTGGGTTAAAGTCTTGGCCATGTCTCTATGCCTGTCAATATTTTAAAGCTTTTTATATCGTCTTCATGTCAGGAAATAGATATGTACTCATATGAAAGAAAACCCCATTTATGTAAACAATTTGGTTAAGACTTCAGACATCACAGTTGTTTTCAATTTCAAGGAAAAAAACCTTGTTTTAAGTCTTTTTCATTGTAGATTTGAAGTAAATAAATTATTAACCAGGTTCACCAAAGACTGATGTGAAGATCCCATGGTGGTTTCTATTTTGCAACATGTGAGAAAGTTATTGAAGTGTGGGGTATGTGTGGAAAATTTAATTAGTAAAGTTTATTTTGTGGTCCTTATATTCCTTCTGTGGTGTTTTTCATCTTCTTTTGCACTTTCACTTATTCAGAGGTGTGGCTTCTATTTTGCAACAAGTGAGAAAGATATTGAAGTGTGGGATATGTGTGGCAAATTCAATTAATAAAGTTTATTTTGTGGTCCTTATATTCCTTCTGTGGCATTTTTTTCATCTCCTTTTGCACTTTCACTTATTCAGAGGTATTTATCTGCTGCCTTGTATAGAATGTGATGGCTATCATCTAAGTGGTTAATTTTTTTTTTTAGTTTTTTTTATTTTTTTTTCTAAGTGGTTAATTTTTATTTAACTCTCAGGCAGTATGTGATCACACTTTCAAGTAAGGGTTTCTGTGAAAGGGTGATGGATTTTTGTTCATGGTTTTTTTATTATTTAATATTGATGGTTGTATTTTTAATATTTAATATTCACAAATGTGCTTGAAATGTTTGTTATCTAGCCTGGCTTGAATGTCAGTAATTAGCCAGGGATACATTGGAATTCATGATCCTTGTGTGTCAGTCTCTTGAGTACAATTCTAAGGGTAGATGATGTACTATCTGTGACTGTTGTTTTGTCATAACTGTAGGGGAATGGGGTTGGCTAAAGAAACCCACTCTGATCCTGGAGCCCAGAACTATGAAAAGATGACTCAGATATGGCCAGTGATAGAAACACTGTTTGGTTCAAATCAGAGTCATCTCTGCCCCTGGTGAACTGACTTTTGAAACCAACCAATCACAGAGCAGGACAGTAGAATTTTTGCACTAGGGCTCAGGACCAGGGAAAGAAACACAGCCTATGTTTAGAATCTGAGCCAGAAAAATAAACCAAAGAAATAGGCCCTGACTCTGAATCTAGTGCCAAAATAACACTCTTGGTCCCTAGAATCAGAGTTAGTAAAAGAAATGAGCCCTGATCTTAGAGTGTCAAAAAGCCAAGAAAGGCCAGTGGAAAAATATACAGTTCGGCCCTGAAATCAGGGCCATCTCTGTCCCTAGCCCACATACCTGGCCAATCTCTGGGCAAGAAAAAAAAAACTAACCAATCACAATTTGACTCTGCCCCCAGGATTTCCTAGATACACCAACCTGCCTGGTCAGTTGTGAGCTGTTCTTTCCATTCTGGTAGAGGCAGATACTCTCCTGGACTCTTCCTTCATAAATAAATCACAAAAGAATTTTGAATGTGAAGATCTTCATTCACTGGTACACAGAAGAACCATGCTGGGATGTCACACAGTAGATTGACCAAGGGGGAACTGAACAGAAGATCCTTGCTGAGATATCCCATAGTAGACACCATTGTTAACACTCAAAATGCAGAGGGTATACATGCCACTTTCTCAACCCCTAGGAATAGAAACAGTAGAAGTGGTCCAAAGCTCCTCAAACCCTCTCACATCCCAAATGTCACCCTTATTGGAGGATGTTTATTCAACCTCCTTGTCACACCCCCTCTTTTTTCAGATGCAAACTACCGCATATTAGCTGTTCAATGATGCTCAGCCTGACAGTTTAGAGAATGTTGGTTATGTGTCCCTCCAGGGTCAAATGCTCATTCACCATTTTGGCCTCACCCATTGTCCTATTAGATTATCTCACCTTACCATTTGTTAATTGTTTCAAGCAAAATGTCTCTACTACCACTTATCTCTCTCACATTCCTCTCTTTGGCATTACAGATGGCTTTAAGTCCTTGGGAATACACTTTGTGTGTACTCTGGATTCTTCAGACTGCAATAATACTATTACCCTTGGTATTAACACCAAGTCACTATGTCCAAGCATTCACAATGCCTCTATTCTCTTTGGTACTCGTGTTTATCACTGCTTACCTGCTAGGTGTTCTGGGACTTGTGCCCTCGTATATTCCTGTTTTGTAAATTAGGGGTAGTACCTGGTGAAGAACCCTTGCCAATTCCCAATGCCAAATTCACAGCCACAAGGCATGACAAATTAGCCATCCAGTTAATACACTTTCTAGCAGTCCTGGGTATAAATGCAGGTGCAGCCACTGGAATAGCAGGACTGACTACTCCCCTAGCTATTTACTGTCAGCTTTCCTCACAATTCATCCAGGATTTCCAACAAGTAGGTCAGACTATCCTTACTCTTCAGGAACTAATAGACTCACTGGCCATTCTATTATTACAAAATCAAAGAGGATTAGATTTATTAACAGCAGAAAGAGGTGGTCTTTGTTTCTTTCTTGGGGAAGAGTGTTGCTTTTATGTCAATCAATCAGGGATTGTGAAAGATAAGATCCAACAACACCAGATGGATCTTCAAACTAGAAACTGCTTGATGCCCCCAGACAGTGGAACACTAATAGTCAGATGTGGAAATGGATGCTCCCTTTCTTATCCCCTCTTTTCTTCCTTTTTCTAGCCATACTAATTGCACCCTGTCTCATAAACTTTTTGGTTAGATTTCTTCAACAACAGATACAAAGTATTTCTAAATAAACTCTGAACCAGTTGGTATTACATGATTACCAGTCCCTATCGACAAAGCCAGAGATCTGCAGAACCTGGTTACATCCTGAGGAGGAAGATCAGGATTGTCCCAAGAACCTTGATGCCCCAAATTAATAAGAAGCAGTCTAATTATAACTTCACCCCCTTTCCAGCCCCTAGCTGCTTATTACCCTTTCCAATACCTAATTGCTTATTACCCTTTCCAAATTCGAGCTGCTTATAACTCTTTCCAACACCCAGTGGCTTATTTATAAACAAAAAAGGGGTATTTGTAGGGGGGAAAAGCTAGATAAAGAAACCCACCCTGACCCTGGAGCCCAGAACAAGAAAAAGGTGATTCAGATAAGGCCAGTGAGAGAAACATAGTTTGTTTAAAATCAGAGCCATCTCTAACCCTGGCAAAATGACTTGTGAAACATTTGTGAAATCACAGAGTAGGACAGTACAATCCAGGCCCAAGGGCCCATGACCAGGGAAAGAAACACAGCCTATGTTTGGGACCTAAGCCAGAGAAATGAACTCTTCATCCCCCAAACCCAGAACTAAAGAAATATGTCCTGACTCTGAATATAGTGTCAAAATAACACTCTTGGTCCCTAGAATCAGAGTTTGTGAAAGAAATGAGCACTGGTCTTAGAGGTAGTATCAAAAAGCCAAGAAAGGCCAGTGAAATAAACACAGTTTGGCCCTGAAATCGAGGCCATCTCTGTCTCTAGCCCACAAAACTGGCCAATCCCTTGGAAGAAAAAAACAAAAACAAAAACAAAACAACAGCAACAACAAAAACTAACCAATCACGGGTTGACTCTGCCCCCAGGACATCCTATGTAAACCACCCTGACTGTTCAGTTGTGAGCTGTTCTCTCCACCTTGGTAGAGGCAGCTACTCTCCTGGACTCATCCTTCCCAAATAAATCACTTTCTCAAAAGAGTTTTGGGTGTGAAGACCTTCATTCACTGGTGCACAGAATATCCTTGCTGAGATATCCCATGGTGGATTGAACAAGAGGGAGCTGAATGGAAGAACTTTGCTGAGATATCCCATAGTGGATTGAGCAAGGGGGAGCTGAACAGAAGAACCTTGCTGAGATGTCCCATAGTGTGTTGAGCAAGGGGGAGCTGAACAGAAGATCCTTGCTCAGATGTCTGTCAGTGGACAGAGCAAGAGAGAGCTGAAAAGTCACACTTTTCTCCTGAGCTGGAGGAGATTGCTACATTTTTGTGTTTCTTAGGCAGGAGAAGCACAACTTTGCTAGGAAGCCCCCTTAAGTGGGGGTTGAGTGAAGCTAAGCTGTAGTGGCTATCCAGGAGAGGAGCAGGATTGCTATATTCTGCAGGGAGACCATCCCCCATCACATCAGGTATAGCCTGATTTTCCTAAACAGTCAGGATACCCTGACTTTCATGAACAGTCATAATACCCTTTGCTGCTGAAGCACTTCCAGGCCTGTCTTTCCTGAGAAGTGAGAAAAAACTTCCCTCCAGGGCTGAACTGTCTCCTTGCCGTTCCAACCATCAGAGATGTGCTAAACAGCTCCAGGTGTCTAGGATACCTTCAGGGAAGACCTATTGTTCTGAACAGCTTGAGGTGTCTAGGATAACTCACCCTCCAGAGCTGAACTGTCTCCTTGAAGCTCCAGCTATCAGAGATGTCCTAAGCAGCTCAAGGTGTTTTCTGACTCCCAGGTCATAAGTGCACCTTTCCTCAGAGTTGCAAAACTCATATTTTGGTGCCAAAATCTGGGACTAAACCCAGGGTTGGTGCAACCAATTTACTTACAGATACATTTTAATGATGTTAATTTTAGAATACTTAATAGAGAATATAAAAGTCATTAAATGCTTCATGTATGTATCCAAAGAAACATTTTCTTTTTTTTCATTTTTCTTTATTAAGAAATTTTCTATTCACTCCACATACTATCCACAAACCTCCCCTTCTTCCTCCTCTCGACCCTCAGCCCTCCTTCCTAAGCCATGCTGCAACCCCACATCCCCCAAATTGAAGTCTCCCATAGGGAGTCATTAGAGCCCAGCACACTGAGCCTGGGCAGGTCCAAGCCCCTTCCCATTGCACCAAGGCTATGCAAGGTGTCACACCACAGGCACCTGATTCCAGAAGCCTGCCCATAGACCAGGGTCATATCCCAATCCCCCTGCCTTGGTGCCCTCTAAACAGTTTGAGCCAAACAACTGTCTTCCATATCCAGAGGGCCTAGTCCAGTCCCATGGCGTCTCCACAGCCACTAGTCCACAGTTCATTGGCTTCCACTAGTGTGGCCTGTCATCTCTGCATGTCCTAACATTATGATCTCGATGTCCCTTTCCTGCAGTATCTCTCCTCTCGCTCATCAATTGGATTCCTGGATCTCAGTCTGGTGCCTGGCCATGGATCTCTGTACCTGCCTCCAACTGTCACTGGACAAAGGCTCTATAATGACAGCTAAGTTATTTGCTAGGCTGGTCACCAGAGTATATTAGTCCAGGCACCCTCTGGACCACTGCCAGAAGACCAAGATGGGGTCAACCTTGTGGATTCCTGAGAGCCTCCACAGCACCCTGTCTCTTCCTATTCCCATGATGTCCTCATCTATCATGATATCTTCCTCCCTGCTCTTCCACTCTGTCCCTGTTCCAGCTTGATCCT